AAAAAAAAAAAAAAAAAAAAAAAAAAAAAAAAAAAAAAAAAAAAAAAAAAACATGATACCCAACTGTGTAATGTGAGCGGTAAGAGTTTTTTATTTTTATTATTTATTTATTTTTTAAATAGTATTTAGTACAATTTTATCACATATTTTTAAATATAATAACTACAAATTATTATTTAGTTTTGAAATAGAGGTAATAATGTTAGTTTTGATATTCAATGGAAACATGAGGATATTGATTTCTACTTTTGTATTAGCATATGGATAGATAGAATGAATCTATTTTTCTCCTTAGTCATGGGTCTTCGAGTTGCACATTCCATTAGATTTGTGTTTGACCTTGCAATATATAGTATTTGGTGAAGATATAAACATCCTAGGTAGATGACTTTTAAAGATTAAAGATTGACCTTATTACTACTTCAAAGGCTTTCGAGCTTGCCGTGGTGGTTTACTTTTTTAAAAAGAAAAAGTAAAATTTTATCCCAACTCTCAGGTGATCTTTAGTTTTTAGAACTTTTCTTTACGAGGTTAGAATGATGATATTTTGTGTGCAGGGAAGTCGAGAAAGTCGCAATGGACAAACTTGTTGAGATGGCTTACAGTAGGAAAATGGTAAGTTGCTAGTTCATTTTCTTCTGCCATTGCTCATAAAAATTTGATTCTTACTATTTCATGTGATATTTTCAGTTGCTTTTGTTCTTTTATATTAGTATATATTTGGTTGAAGTTTGAATTTGTGTTTGTATATTATAAATTGTTATTATATTACAATTTTTTAAATAAGAAACCGAGATTTTATTGAGATAAAGAACAAGCCAGGGCAAACAAAAAACAAGTTCACCGACACAAAAAACCCCAAAACCTACAAGAATGGATTCCAATCCAAAAGAATGAAGTTAAGCTGGTAACTACAAAATGTCTGATTAATAAATGCCCATCAAGATGAGTTAAATCTCATCAACTTTCAAAGCTCCTCACCAAATCTTTCGGCCTCTCTAAAGATTCTACCTTGTCTCCTAGCCAAATACCCCACAAATTGGCAAAAAAATCAAGCCTATCATAGAACTGTTTCTTTGTCTTGAAAAGGAGGATTCAAGAGCACCTCCTCAATCATGGAGCAACACTCTATTATGAGCCAGAACAACCCCGAAGGTCCTGAAAAACCAACTTAGAAGGGATCAAATCAAAGGGCAATCCCATATTTCAAAATTTTCAAAATTTTCAAAAAGTAACAAGGTTTGCATACAATTGGAGAGATACTCGCAAGCTAGTAGGAATACCACCGACCTGCTCTATACCCCTTCAATGGGGTGGGCATGAAAAAGAAACTTGAGCATAGATATAGGAACAAGAATGAAATTTTTTATCCTACCTGCCTCATTAACATTGTTCATCTAGTAGTTGGAGAATTCTATAATTGCATTAATATACATATAAAAAGAGTCGCAAGGCTATTTATAGGTTAGCTCTAGAATAAGATAAATTTCATCACAATTATAATTCTCTAGACAAACCATGAGGGGAGGAGTTGGCAGCGATTTAGTTTCGGTCGATTGGAAATCAGCAGTTTTTGAACATTTGTGTATATGATGATAAAACGGTGTTATATTAGGCAGTAATGCTACTAGAGGTTTGAACAGTCCAAATTCTTGCAAGTTGGTGCTCATGTGTGAGCCTAAATCCCAATAGCCTAATCTGTTTACTTTATTTATCTTTATTTTAAGCTGCAAATTGAAATTTGAGAATATATTAGCAACCTGAGCTTGTCTTAAAAGTTTGAACTCATGGTAGAGTGAGGATTAGTAAGTTATAATTTACTCTCAGAAGAAACTGTTTAGATGGTAAATGAGTTGATGCATGCGAGAACTTAGTCAACACGAGTTTAAGCTTCGTCGGAGGAATCATTTTGTCAATATTTCTTGCATGAACTATAGCCCGCTAAGTTGCAATTTGGTATTTACTTTAGCCTAGGTATTGCGGTCTAACAAATTATATATCGACAGGGATATCGTGGCAGTAGTGCCTCAAAAAGTACGGTCCGCAGGGTCTCAAAATTAGCAGCCCGGTCCTTTATGAAACGTACTCTCACTAGATGTCACGAGTTTGAAGATAGCGGGATTAGTTGTTTCAGTGAGCCTGCATTGCAGGATATTATTTTCTCTACACCTTCGAGCAAACGAGATACGAAAACTGTTGACTTCTGTGGCTCTACAACTACTAATACATTTTTCGAGGCTTCCCATCAGATGGACGATAGGGGATTGGGTATGTCAATGTCTTTTTTTTCTTAACTATATTTGATGTAATCATGGATTCATTCTATATTTATCTACATGCTTTCTCACCTATATGCGAATGAGCCTTTATAACAGTTTGTTTTTTGTTCTTATTACAGGTGCTGCAGTTTTTGGGCCATCTGAGAGATATGATTCACAGAGTGATACAGTGGATAAAGGTTCTTCAAATGCCCAAGCCATTAATTCTTCTGAGCAACACTCCATGCGTGGATCCATGATGACGATGATTAAGCAGAAGAAGAAGAAGAGGGAAATGCGCATAATAGACGAGGTTGCTGGAAGTGCTTCTTCCATGCTCACATCTGGTCTCTCCCCAGGCACAAAAGGCAAGAGAAGCGAGCGAGAAAGGGACCCAAACAAAAACCATCCGCTTTCCGACATCTTTGGTCCCTCATTGGATGGCTGTCAAGGTGCCCGTAGATCAAGGGCAAATCCCAGGCAGAAAGGTAGTTGTTTGTCAACAACTTCAGCAGCAAGTAGATCTGAGAAGAACCAACTTTCAGAAGTGCCAAAATTTGGCGACAGAAGCAGAGCGTCGTTGGGGTCATCGAAAGACGAGGCTGAGGAGTCGAGTGGCTTGAGTAACTTGCAATTGCATGATATAGATGGCATGGAAGAACTAGATGATGTATCGAAAGACCTGGGTTCGTGGTTGGATATTGACGAGGATGGGTTACAAGACCATGATGATGATGGTATAGGTCTAGAAATTCCAATGGACGATCTTTCTGAGTTGAATATGCTGGTTTAGTTGTACACTTTGATAATGTGTTGTATATAATTCCTTTATTAAGCAACTATTTTGCATGCAGCAAGTTTTGTGTCATAGTTGTAATCAAGAGTGGAGTGGAGTGGAGTGGAAGTAAGTATTTGTAACTTTTTGAGTTATTCTTCTATAGACAACCACTTAGCAACGCACCAGATCAGCATGAAAGCCCCATGCACCGTCTTCCTTTAACCCCACAATTTGCTTGTCCTTTTCATGGGGAAGACGCCATTTTTTTAACTCTTTTCTCCTTTTTGGTGTGTTTTCTCCAGACTATTTATTATGATATACTTGTAGTAGAGTTTGAGATTCGTGTCAAATTCGATATTAGATTTTAAAATTGAATCTCGAACATTCAAAATATGCTCAATTGTTGTTAAAATACCCAAGTTATTAAAAAAAACATCATTAAAATTCCAATGGCCTTCAAATTTTTAGAACTTAATTTAAAGGTATTAAAAAAAATTAATAAAGATGAACTCTCTTAAACGCAATAGGATGTTTTTTTTTACTTTTTAAATTAAAAAGAAAAAAAGTGAAAGATTTAGATTGGGAGGGTAAAATGGTAAAAAGGTAGGGAGGAGGAGAGAGAAAATAAAAAGTCAATATCTCTTAGAAATATGATATAAGATCAGAAGTTCGGGAAATGGTTGTGTGAACTCTGAATCTGATTCTGAATCATCTCTTCCTCTGTTCTTCTTCTTGTTGCTGCTGTTTGGCATGGACCTTCATCATTCAACCATCTCCTGCTCCTGTTCCACATTCATTCTTCTTCTTATTTCATTTATCGTCAAACAAATTCATAAAATAATATCCACAATTGTTTAATCTTACGTACTCTCTTGGTCGGGAAACCCACAATGAACTAAGAGCTCTTAGTCTTCCATAGTACTCTCCAATTACCATGAAGCATCGAGCTGCCTGTCGACCCGTCAATATTCTACATAATTGATGAAGCGTTTGTTGTCTCAACATGTCAGCCTGCAATACATAATAGTACAACGATTAGAGACATAGTAAATCTTCGACCAAGAAAAAAAGAAAAATCTACATTACTTTATTATTATGATTGTACACTGTTTTTGAAGTTTTAAATTGATTGATGGATCACCTAAAACATAAACATCCCTTTCAATCCCCAACCAAATTGATTGAGACTTTTCAATTTTATAACACTAAGAGATGTTTGCTATTATGTATTATTTTATAACCCACCTTTGGTTTCGATCCTAACATTATTATGGGACATCACACAAGATTGGTTAGAAATTACGAATCTCTATGCTGGTATGATATTGTTCACTTTGAGCATAAATTCTCATAAGTTTGCTTTCGGTTTTTCCAAAATGTCCAATAAAGATGTGTTTCTTACTTATAAACCCATTAACATTATTTAAATTAGTCAATCTGGAACTCCCTCTTAACAATCCTCCCCTCGAACAAAGTACACTCTAGAACCTCCCTCGATGTCTATAAAACCCTCAAACAGTCTCCCCTTAATCGAGGCTAGACCCCTTATCTAGAGTCTTCGAATAAAGTACACCATTTATTCAACACTAAGTCACTTTTGACTATACCTTCAAAGCTCACAATTGTTTTGTTCGACATTTGAGGATTCTATTGACATGACTAAGTTAAGGGCATGACTCTGATACCATGTTAGAAATCACTGATCTTAACAATGGTGTGATATTGTCTACTTTGAGCATAAGTTCTCGATCACTTTCTTTTTTGTTTCTCTAAAAAGCATCATATCAATGGAAATGTATTCCTTACTTACAAACCTGTGATCATTCCCTAAATTAGCCAATTTTAACCAATTTGAGACTCGCTCTCAACAATTCTCAACAAGACTCACCTGGCGAATGAAGCCTTCAAGGTTGGAGAGCTTCCCGGCGGCCACGGCCATGTGGTTGACCCCCTCCATCATGGCAGTGCCGGCGACGGCCATTATGAGAGAATGGTGGAACTGGTCAAGCCCCTGATACAGAGCATCCTCTGTTTCTTGTGAACATCTCTGCAAATTACATATTCCTACAGCTTGCTGCTCCGTTAATGTCTCTAACTGCGGGATTACCATCTGTGTGGTTTTGTTTTCACACCAAAAGTCACAATTTCAATCACAAAAAAACACTTTCAAAACTCACACAAACATTTCAAGTTTCAGACACCTCTATGAGCTTCGACGGCCGGAATCCTCCGATCCAAAGGAAGCAACGCTCCGCCGGACTCATCCACATTCCCGTCATCAAATGAAACACATCTGATTTTGCTCCCACACTTTTCAACTCAAATATTTCGTCGTAGTGACTCATGTAACCGTCTACGATTGCTCGGAGATCGCCGTCCGGGAGATGCCCCTCCACTGCCGCCCGCAACTCCGACATCATACGGAGGTCGTTGTCTAGCCACCGCGCATACTCCATGTCAAATATTGCAGCTCCTAACAATATATGCAAAATTCAATCATATTGCATTGCCACAAAAAGACCCACTTCCATGAGATAAAAGAACTTACCGGAGCTGATATTGCCACCCATAACGCCACCACAAGCACCTAGAAACAATCCCTGTTCATCACAAATCATTCCAAAAACACTTACATAATTCTTAAGAAAAATTGAGCAATTCATACATACTTGAGAAAGAAACAGAGCAATTCATACATATTCTTGAGAAAAAAAACAGAGCAATTCATACGTATTCTTGAGAAAAAAACAGAGCAATTCATACGTATTCTTGAGAAAAAAACAGAGCAATTCATACGTATTCTTGAGAAAAAAACAGAGCAATTCATACGTATTCTTGAGAAAAAAACAGAGCAATTCATACGTATTCTTGAGAAAAA